AAAACAATAAACATATAATACGCTCTGTTGCTCAATATTTAATTACAGCTTCAGATGCATGATATTTTCATTTGCTACAAGCAGGATACACGAGAAGTGTGTTCAACTCGGACTCGCAGATGGTTGTCATGGTGATAAACACCATAAAAAGCAGCTGTTCGCTTGTCCGTGCTTAATGTGCATCTCGTTGATGAAAAGCATTTTAGGGGGCCCTTGGCTTTTGGGGGCCCAAGGCGGTTGCCTACCTTTGCCTGATGGGTAAGTCCGCCTCTGATTATAATTGACTAAGAATGCACAATTTATTTGCACACAGTGTCTGAGTTTGTAAAGATTCTGGTTCACTAAATGAATTATGCAAATCATGTAACAGCGCAAACATGGGCCACAAAGTCAGTTTTCAGATTTACTTGAAATAATCTTAATATTTCAGTTACCACCCAACGAAAAACACACGATCAGCCTGAAAACCAGCAGGTCGTTCTATGATCTAAGTGCCTTTTACAGTTTGAGAAACTAAAAATAAATAATTAAAATAAAAATATAATAATAAAAAAATAAAATAAAATAAATAAGCGAATAGATATAATAAACTTAGAATTCATTTTATTTGCTAATGCTAATATTTCTACTAAATCTACTGAAAATGGTTACGAAACATAAGATAAAATGAGGGATATTTTAGAGTAGTTCATTACTTTAAAAGGAAAAAAATATGATTGTAAGAGGGTTGATGCACAACCTAGAGAATATTATGTCAATTTATCACGATATTATGTTATTAAAATCTTTTTTTTTAAATGAAATAAGTAAGGAATAAAATACAAAAATCCATCTATATTCTATGAACAATATTAATTTTATGTTCATCAAAATGTTTGTAAAATGTAAAAAAAATCTTGATGAAAAAACATAAACATAAAAATACAATAAAGTCACTGGATTTTAGTTGTTGTCTTTAGAAAAAAGACTATAGCCCCATAGAAAACAGGTTCTGACAGAGTCTAAAAAGGACAAAATAAAATATTTCATAATATAAGAAGACAGTAATCAGAAGAGAACATTGATAAGAAAATAATAGAAGGAAGAGGAAAAGAGAAAAAGAATAAAATATAAATGAAAATGAGTGAGAAGAGAGAAAAAAATGAACAAAAAACAGTTATGCAAATAAATATCGCTTTTGTACTCTAGTAATTTCTGGCTCAGCAGTGAAAATAGAAGCCAGAGGACATTTCCAGGGATATTAAAGACATTCTGATGAGGGACTATGATAATGCATTTCTTACTACTTGTACAAATGGCTGCACAATGGCCTTCAGGCAACCCACATTTTGAAATCTATAAGTGTAAAATGTCTGTTAGCTTTCTTGTGGGTACAGACAGTTCTGTGTTACGGTGAAAAGATCAAAAAGTTGTCTCAGAGATGGTTTGCTGAGTCTTGTTGCAGAAACAAAATTAGCTGAGTTTCAGGGTTAGTGAACCCTAGATTACTTTTGTTGTTACTTGAACGATGAGATGCCTTTCTGTTGACATTCTCTTGATGATACTTGCAGGGCCGGAGTGGGACTCATTTTCAGTCCTGGAGTTTCATGCCTTAGACCGGCCCACTTTGTTTTTTTTTTATGTATTTTTTTTTTTGTACTGGCTTTTTCCCTTTTCAGTGCCGCCTTTGCACTTTCTATTATCCTTTTTTATCTATTATTTTTTGCTCGCATATCTCCAACAACTAAGGTCAAAAGATAATTACATCATCATTAGGGTTGCCAATTAATTTCAGAAATAGAAAATAAGGGACAATTGTGATTCTTTATCTTTTATTCTTTAGGAAAATAGCGTTTATTCTTGTATTCTTGTAGAAAATAAGTGTTTATTCTTTAAGAAAATAAGGGACAGAATAAGGGACGCTCCAAATATTTGTACTATACCATAATGCTATGTGTGCCTGCAGTTAAAAAGTTCTCAGAAATATTGCTTAACCTATTTATGTACAATTATTCTAAAAAGAATTTGAATGTCATACAAAAAACGTCATCGGCCTGAGTAAATTGTACAATTATAGAATTGTGACTTCACAAGTGTAGTAATTTAGGAGGTGAAAATACTGTGATATTACAAATGGCATGACATTTGAAAGCATAACAACTGAAAGTCTATGAAACGTCAGTTAATAAAGCATTAAACAATGCCACTTAAAGTTTTGAACTCAAATAATATTGCAACCATATAGCCTTTGAATGAATGAAAATGCATATTTTTCAATTAAAGGAAACTTAACAGAGTGTAGGCTTAAATAATAAGGTCCAAGTTTAAGAATACGCTAAAAGTTTTTTTCTCTCTCTCTATTTAACAGCATTAACTTACAATGAAATACGTATTCCCTCAGGTAGATTGAATGTTTTCCTGCCTTGCTGGATGTTGGGCTCATGATCAATAAGCTGTTTGCATTCACCCAAACTGATCAAAAATCAAAATCAAAAAGCAGACGGTGAAGGGAATTGCCATTAGAACGAGTCCCGCTCGCTGTGACGCGGGAGCAGCAGAGGATTCCGCTTGGTCTTAAAGCCTTCTCTTAAACGGCTACTTCACAAATAAAACAATGATTTGCGCAAAAAGAATGATTAATTATCAATTGAGAATTTGTTATTGATATGGTCTAGTGAAAATAGTAATATGGGCTGCTTAAAATAATAAATAAAAACAGTGGTGCTGCTGTGAATGCAGGCAGTCTAGGGACAGGATCCATATTTCAGCCCAGTGGAATGACAACACCGGCCCTCGCAGCCAAAAAAGCAGACCGGCCCACCGGGAATCTTCCCGGTGCTCCCGATTAGCCAATCCGGGCCTGGATACTTGTAACCAACAAGTGAACGCAAAAGTACTGCTAAACTCAGATATGTCTTCAACAGCTCAAATCATTGTGGGAATTGTGCCATTGCCTTGATTTAGTGCATAGTAACAGGAAAACACAGGGGAAAAGTAGTCAAATTAACTTTAAACTCATGAAACAACATCCTAGAAATAGTTTTCAATTTCTTGTCAGACAATTGGATCAGAAACAGGGACAAGCTTGATTAAATATACAATAAAACAAAGCTTGGCATTTTCATCAAAGAGATAACTGTAAGGACAACTTATTAAACAAAATGCCACAGTGAAGAATCACCATGAAATGTTTTAAAACACCAAGATACTTACAGAAATGTCAGTGACCTCAGACCGATGAACGTATCCCGGGTAATGGTTTTAAGTGGGTTGTGGTCTAACACTCTGAGGGGAAAAAAAATTATACAATAACTGAAATGTCTTTTATAAAATGTTAATGTTAATGTTAAATGTTAATGTTAAATGTTTTTTTTTTTTGCACAAAAACAAGAAATATCTTGTTAGCAAATCTTCTGTCAGTGACTGTGCTTGTTCAAGTACTACATAAATCTGCCCAACCTGCGTCTGGGTTTGGCAACCGAAAAGCCACCCAAGTAATTCTCAGCTTCTTTCTGCAAAACCACATTCTATTTTCAGCACTTTCCAGAGCCAAATTCTACTAACTCAGAGCTATTCCACAGACCACATCTTTTCTGTGTGATTATGCAGAACTTAATTAAGCATCTATTTAACAAAGGAGACAACAAACAAACAAATATTACTAAATATGAGATGAGATATTGTGTAACGCCAAACTATAGGATGAAGTTCAAGAAAAAACTAAAAAATTCATTAGTAAACAAAACATAAACACTTGAAACATAAAAAATAAACAGAAAATATTAAAATATAAAAAAATATATAAAAATGACAAAGATACACTAAATATGTATGTTACTGTATTGTTGTAGTCATTACTTTTTATATGTAATAAATGTAAAAAAAATGTTAAAAACTTCATGACACTAGTATAAAACAACAAATAGTGGCCAATTGATGGTTTCCAGTTTGACCACGGTCTCAACTCTTTGATTGATATTTGATGCAAAAGCGCAAGAAGAAGCCATTTTCCCCTTTTCTAATTCATTAAAGTGTTGCAATGCATACTCACAGCCAGTCTAACTTGTGTAGATCTCGGAATACACCAGGTCCTAAATATGTTATGTGGTTTTGGCTGAGAAACCTGCACAAAAGACAACGTTTAATTATAAACACAGACTTGAAATTGAAAGAAAAAAAAAAAAAGTTCAAAAACCCCTGTCAAGGTTAAGCATTAAATTGTCCAAAGTATTGATTTACAGACACAAAAATAATAAATTGCCCTATTAGGAATCCAAATGAATACGAGCATAGCAACTCATTTCTGACTCATACACTGTGCTTCTTCTGAGATGCTTTTGAATGAACTAAAAACTGATTGGAATAGAAAGGAAAAGGTAAGTTTGTAATTCCTACAAAACTGTGTAAGAAGTCATTAATCATCTAGAGCTGACTTTCCTAATCATCTTCTCAGGATAAAGCTTGTCCTTCCTCACTTCTGGGACAATTGACTAAACAATAGTCTGTGCCTACTCTGCCCCATGAGCAGAACGATCTACAGCCCAAAGATGCCATTGTGCTCCACACCTAAAGCAATAGCAGAAGAAGCATTGAACACATGCCACAATCTTGGGCGGCACATTGTTCAATATTCAATCTGGGACTTTCATTTCTCATCTCCAGTTCGGCTGGAGACGTCTGAACACCTCTCTCACTGGCTTCTCATGAAGTTCAAGAAATGGCATTGACTATCAGTAACACCAGAACAGAAAGAATATTTTGAGTCTTTTTAAAAAGGTGATCTGAAGTGAAAGATAAGAAAAAAGAACTCACAGTTTTTCTAGACTGAATAGTCCGCCGAAGGCACAGCTTGAGACCATCTGAATTATGTTGTTCTGAAGAAACCTGTTCAAAAAGAAAGTCGAAACAAATAAGTGCTGATAATATTAATGGATTCTATTAATCTGTTGTGGTTTGGATGCTCTTTTGGACATCTGACACCAGAAATGGCTAGATATTCAGCTTTAAAACCTAAAAAGTTGCTTTGTGAAAATTTTAGCCAAAGCCAGCTGCTAAATAACCATTCAGAAACACATTCAAACCCAAAACTTTGTGTTTGCAAACTCATCATAACACTGTACACTTCTCATGCTGTTCACTGTAACGTCCCAACATTTTTTTTTTTTACTTTAACAAATACATTTTATGTTAATTAATACCTCATTCTTATTAGCCTCATTTACAATGTTGTGACAGTGGGTGGACCTAGTCTATTATTTAGTCTCACACAGACAACGTTTTCCTTTCATCAGGCTCTTAATGACTGAAATACAGTCATCTTTTAGATTTTTGAAGGCAAATAAGGCCATAAAACATTAGAACATTGAGTAATGTTACTAATAATAATCGCGCACATGTGCGAAACACAGCAAGTAATGTTTACTTGTACATCTGCCTAATTACTTTCAGGGAGGGACCATACTGTGAGAGAAAAAAGGAAAAGAAAAGAGACACGAACAAGCACTGAGATCATATCCACATGTTATGTTGTTCATTTACTTCATTAGTACAAAACTACATGAGGTGATCGGAATGATCTTGTATATAAAATGTTAATCTCTCAGAGGAGGATACCCCCAGACATCCTACAAGCCCCTGTTGTTTTGGTCTTCACCCCAGATATCAAATCCTGAAAAATGCCCCCGGCATGCTCCTGTTCTCTGTATTATATTAGCTGTATTATATTATATTAGTTTTTAATTCATTTTTGTTGGATCCATGAGCCAGAAACTACTGAAAATGCAATACTACTTTTTTAAAGGGGACCTATAATGCAAAATTTTACATAGTATTTGAACATAACTATGCCACCCTATAATGGTAAAAATCCCTTCATTAGTACAAAACTACATGAGGTGATCGGAATGATCTTGTATATAAAATGTTAATCTCTCAGAGGAGGATACCCCCAGACATCCTACAAGCCCCTGTTGTTTTGGTCTTCACCCCAGATATCAAATCCTGAAAAATGCCCCCGGCATGCTCCTGTTCTCTGTATTATATTAGCTGTATTATATTATATTAGTTTTTAATTCATTTTTGTTGGATCCATGAGCCAGAAACTACTGAAAATGCAATACTACTTTTTTAAAGGGGACCTATAATGCAAAATTTTACATAGTATTTGAACATAACTATGCCACCCTATAATGGTAAAAATCCACCCTCCCCATTTTTTATATTCTCCATAAATCATAAACTGCCATTCTGGAATGCTGTCTCATAGGGTTAAGCCCCACCTGTGACTGGTGTCGGACTAAAAGTGTTGGCAACTTCGCAGTTTTGTTGCTAGATTTAGCACCTTTTCAGACTACCTTAGCAACGTTTTTTTCCCCAAAAAGTAACTAGCAACAAACAACAAATTCAGCTATTTTTAACATTTATTTGCGTTTTGCCTCTAAATCACATAAAAAGAGGAAACCATTGATCAGCTAGTTGGCCAAGCAGCAAGTCAGCCTAGCATGTCAGCATGTTGCCTAGTTGCCATTGTTCAATAATAATAGTTCATTTATGATACACCTTGATATTAGCTTGTACCTATAATTGTTGATCATTTAGGTACACTGTAAGAAAAAAATATGTAGAAAAATGGAAAAGGTAGTGGTAATTTTCTGCCAAGACATTATCCGTTAACTTTACAGATATTTCCTATAACCCTAAAATGGCTTTGGATTCAAAGGATAAGAGTACAGTTCACAACGAAGACTTAGGGCAGTCAGTAAATTATTTAATACATAATCTTGAAATTGAATGCCATTCCAGTTGCTGCCAGAGATTCACTTGTACAATAAAGATGTGCTTTAGTTTCTCAATAGTGTCCTGTCCCAATAAAGGCAAAAACTTCAAAAATAAATCATCATCATCATCATCATAAAAAAAAAACTAAAAAAGAAAAAACTCTCAAAATGCAGTGACAGCAAACATTGGCATAAAATTCTCATGACATCTGGATGAATGCAAATGAATTTATGCCAGTCTTGATTGCACTGATTTGTTCACTGGAGAGGACTGAACTGCCTTTTTATTTCATACAGGATGTATTGTTCATTAAATGCATATAAATCGGTTTAAATGGGCAGTAAATCCTTCAAGATTCTGAAGAGAAGTCAGTAAATGGCCTCTGTTCCAAACCTTTTTACTTTAATTTGAAAGAAGGATGATAATTTCATCGGACACTTTTTCTTGGGTGCAGAAGAGCTTAAAATGAATGTGCAATTCAAGTAAAATGAGATGAAAAGCATGCTCTCGATTCAGAATTTCCTCCAGTCTGTGAGGGACACAGTGACCCAGTGAGAAAAGCAGAGCTCTGAAGCTCTTACCAGCAACATTATCAGCATTCACCACTCTCTCCCAACGAGGTGAAAGGGAATTTAGCGATTCACTGAAGCATTCATGGGCATGCTAGGAAGAACTGGGCTCATAACTGAGAAAGAATGAGCTTTCTCTGAGCTCATGATGTTAAAATTAAATTATTTGGACACTTTAGAGTTTTCAATGGTTAGTAGAACATTATGAACTACACCTGGGGACAGCTGCGAGAACCTGAAAACCTGACGTTTTATATCCACTAAAAATTACCCTGAGATCAGTTTAATGAAATAACATTCACACATATTAAAGGAATAGTTCACCCCAAAATGAAAATTTGCTCACCTTCAGGCCATCCAATATGTTGATGAGTTTGTTTCTTCATTGGAACAGATTTGGAGAAATTTAACATTACATCACTTGCTCATCAATGGATGACGTCAAAATGAAAAACTGAAAAAATCTAAATAATCCAGTCCATTTTTGTAAGTTTGTAAGCATCACATGTACCATTAAGATGTTTTAACTTTAAACAATTATTTCAGGCCAAAATATGAGTCCTCTATCCATAATAACACTTCCTCTAGTGAAAACTAGAGGAAAAACCTATTGTCCTCCTACATCAAAACCCACTTGTTTAGAAATGTTTTGGACTGTTTTCACTTGTAAACTACGCTTAATCTGTGCATATTTCTCTCCTAATTCAGACAAGATGACTTTTTCACTGGAGAAAGAAATATTATTGATAGAGGACTCATATATTAGCCGGAAACAACAGTTTGAAGTTAAAAATACTGTAATGATGAATTTATTACAAACATGACTGATAGACTGGAGTCATTTCGATTACTTCTGGATTATTTTGATGAACTCATCTACACCTTGGATGGCCTGAGAGTGTGTAAATTCTCAGCATTTTTATTTTTGGGTGAACTATTTCTGCTGCTTATTATAACATTAACAGACAAAAAGTGTCTAAAAATAGACAAAAAGTGGGGGAAAAAATACTTTGAGACACTTGGTCTCTAAAGATTCCCTTTGCACAGAATTTGAATTTGCATATTTCTGTCATGACAACTCTCTGTGACTTTAGCATGGTAATGTACACAACAATGTTAATGTGTTTGGTCTTGGCGGATTAGATCTGCTATGCTGCTGCTGTGGCAGAGCAAGTATCGAGACTTGCTACTGCTAAAACATCCACAGACATGCTGCTGTGAGCATGTAGGAAATACTGTTGTAGCACATATAACATATATGAAATAACACCCATATATAACACGCATGAAATTACCCCATAGCAGATCTATACAGGTGGAGCTGGGGAAGGTGGAGGGTTTCTGAAGAGTGCTGCAACTGCTACAGCAAGCACTAGCCAAGTATTTGAATGCAAGCTCATTGGCTGTTGATGTGAAAAGAAACTGCGCCTGTGAATAATGTTGTGATTATATCAGATTGAGTTAGAATCTATCGGCCTGCACCATCTAGAGTTTCATGACAGAACTTTGTATTTCTGACAACTTCATAACATTGTTAGAGTGATCGGATCATAAAAACCTAAAAGAGATGTTAATACTACAAGTAACTGGGATTTATACATATCCCTACTAAATAATAGTTGAAAAAATGAAAATTTTTTAAATGAAAAAACAAAAAATCAAAGATATTCACATCAATAAGCCTAAACTGTTGTAAAAAGCTAAACACAGAGGACATCTGTCATTTCTACAGGCTCAACATTCCACAGATGTCCCAACAACCTTTTAACCTTCCTTTTATAGTCTTCTAAAAAAAATTATTAATCTGTGTCTTTAGGGGTATTTTATCCTCATCACCACATGTCGCTGCAAGTTTTTCTCATCACAGTTCAAAAATACGATGTGTAAAATAAACTGAGCTTTATGATGGGGTATCAAGTATGAGTTGTACCCAATACTGAATGTGCACTTGGAGTTTAAAAATAAAAATTAATCATCACAATACTACCAAAGAAAAGATTCTGAATTGATAGACTCAGCCAAAATTAACTGTGTCCTCCTTCCTGACAAAGATCAAAACTATTTATTTTATATATATTTTTTGTTTTTGTTTTTTTTGTTTTTTTTGTTTTTTTCTGACTAATTGAGACAGTACTCAATTCTCACTCAATTCATTTTCACTCACTTGACATCTCAGAACTATGGGATCTGCGTGCCAATCCATGAAGCCCTATTCTGTAGACATCCTGTGCAGGCCCATTTCAGCTATTTGATAGGGTGGATATAAAGTCTGTTCTCAGTTCTAGGTGTTGTCTTGCCAGTGGTGTCTTGTCTCTTTATTTCTGATAGGGCACAATGAATCACACACCTAACCCACAATAACATCTCATCATCATCTAATAATTCAAATCTAGCAAAAATACAGCGAAAACATCCACATCACCTGGTCCTTATCTCATACAGTGCTTATTTTCTTACACAGTATAACAAATGCATAATTCTCTTGGTGTACTAGAAGTTAAATCATGAAGACCTCAAATACAAGATTAAGTAAACAGTGCACATTCACTACAGCCAATCAACTGCATGCAGCAGGATTAAATGAATCAACATTGACATTCATTAGAAAAGAAAGTATGCATGAAAATCAATTATGCAAACTTGCTAGTGCCTTTACAAGTCAAGATATGGCAACCCATGAATCAATAAAAATTTAAACTGGACGCATATTGAAGGTATTCAACCTTTGACCCATGGAATTTCATTTTAAAGATTTTGTTCTTTTAAAAGTTTTTCTGATTTGGAGAACACTAACATCATTTTATTAATTTTTTTTAATCTGAGGCAGCGAAAAAGTTGGATGAGAAAATTATTGACCATACAGGCATAAAACAAAAGTAATCAAATATTATGAAATATAAAAGCTCTCATTTATTAAAAGGCTTCCTTTCCAGTAAAAATATCTAAACATCCTTCAAATTTCAGAAGCAAAACTGTATAAGAAAATAAAACTTCTCTTTAGAGAGCCTAAACTTCGCCAGTATAAATTTATTGTTCATCTGTTCAAATCAGAACAAACTGAATTATGAATGAAGATCTAGGTCTGAGCAGTAGATTATGCAGACAGGAGGCTGCATTGGCCAGTGGCCTAAAAGACTTACAGTATTATAAAGGGTTGCATGGTGGCCAGCAGATATTGCACTCGTCTCCCTCAGAGAACCAGGGTTCAAGACGTAACCTAAAGTTCTCAGAGCTGAGATATTTTGGTTCATCAGATATTGGAAATTTCACTGCACTGTCATTTTTTGGGTGAATTATCTCTTTAAGGAGCCTTTTCATTCCACAAGGATGAAACAATCTGGTTTTCTTAGATACAAGTTTAGTAACCACTGATATGAATTATCTAACGTTCCTTTATTTTCCAAAAACATCCCCAGAATCCAAAAGATCATCTCCAGCATCCTAAATCCAAAAATTACAAAAATCATAAATTAACTTTAAATATGGATTTATGAACATATTTATGTTATTTCTGGAGCTTGACAGCCCTTTTTTTCTCTTTTTCCAAAAATGCTTACAGCATTTGTGTTTGGTACAAATAACTTTTGGTTGAACTATCTCTTTAACCGCTGTCCTCTCATAGATTCTTCATCATCAGTGTTTGATCAGCATCTGCATCGACTCATCCTCTGATGTCTGGTCATGACAACATTGATCCAACAATTAAGGAAAACAATTAGATATGTCAGTGTATTGTTTCCATGAGAGCAGACGATGTATCTGTGGCCAGGTGTTGTCTAGATGAAAGGATGCTATTTTTCATCTTGGTCAGTGTGGCCAGGGGCGCCCTTGGCATGGCATTAGAGTATGGTTCCTCTTCAGGCAGGCACACACTGACAGCAGCTGCGCTTCAGATGATCGCTGTAGCCCGTTCACCCAACCCCCTCCCACTCCGATCACATCCAGACTTTCTGTTGTAGAGCCATAATCAGATTTAGATTTATTTCAGGCTCAAATCCAGTGTCTATTGTGTGCTGTCTAAAAATATATTTGTAAAAATATAAAATTATTTATTTATTTATTATTAGAACTGTCAAGCTATTTAGAATTTATAACTTTTGGTTGAACTATCTCTTTAACCGCTGTCCTCTCATAGATTCTTCATCATCAGTGTTTGATCAGCATCTGCATCGACTCATCCTCTGATGTCTGGTCATGACAACATTGATCCAACAATTAAGGAAAACAATTAGATATGTCAGTGTATTGTTTCCATGAGAGCAGACGATGTATCTGTGGCCAGGTGTTGTCTAGATGAAAGGATGCTATTTTTCATCTTGGTCAGTGTGGCCAGGGGCGCCCTTGGCATGGCATTAGAGTATGGTTCCTCTTCAGGCAGGCACACACTGACAGCAGCTGCGCTTCAGATGATCGCTGTAGCCCGTTCACCCAACCCCCTCCCACTCCGATCACATCCAGACTTTCTGTTGTAGAGCCATAATCAGAATTAGATTTATTTCAGGCTCAAATCCAGTGTCTATTGTTTGCTGTCTAAAAATATATTTGTAAAAATATAAAATAATTTATTTATTTATTATTAGAACTGTCAAGCTATTTAGAATTTTAATCAAACTAATTACATGAAATGCTGCTTAATTAATCATATTAATCAATATTCATTCATATTAATCCTACCTCTTCAACCCTGTATCTCTTAATATCTTCAAAGTTCAGATCATAAAAAAATCTAAAGTATCATAAGCATAGAACAATATGCACAATAAACATAACCAAAACCAACAAACAAAATACAACACCACCTTTCAAGAAGTGTGCATATTTTTTCTTTCTTTTGGTAATTGTTCAGTGCAAAGAAGCTCTATGGCTCTTGTTAAGCTTTATGGCTCAGCTATGAAGCTCCATGTCTCACTGATGTCAAATTTGTACTCCTCTTGTCCAGCTACAGATTAATAACCTCTCGTGGGAGCAGAGGAGTAAAGCTCTGCAGATGGATCCCAGCTTGATGTACTTACAACCAAGTCACATTGGAAGAGAGGACAGGTACGACATGCAGGTTCACGTCCACACATTCCACCTCCGTCTTAATGCAATCACAGCTCTCTGGGTACTGCAGCAGAACTGTACAAGATCAATATAAACACACACACAAATTCAATTATTATAGTAATACATTATTATTACATCTAGTACATAAAGATTAAAAAAGAGATTTATTGCATTATTGTTGTTTCATTGGTTTTCCTACTATTGTTAAGTTCTGCCAGGAATAATGTCAATGCAGCATTTCTATTATTACATATGATTAATAAGGTTGAACCAATAAACATATTTACCCATATTTGTATTAATTAATTTTTTTGGCGTTGTTCAAATTAGGTCTGCACTGGAAAAAAAATTATATACATATACATATACAGTTTATACGACGATTACTGGGCAAGCTTAACCTAATTAATATTCATAATCCACATACATAAGTTTATAAGTGCAGTGCAGATTTATGATGTATTTCAGTAAAATGCAGCCTATAGGATTTCTGACTTCAAAAGTGACCAGTAGACTATTGAAGTGTAAGGCTGTAAATATATCAAATAAACTCTGAGAGAGGAAAAAAAAAAGAAAATCTAAGTCTGGCCTTCACAAGGAAGTTGCAGCAGCGTTTTGGACTAGTTTTTAGTGTTTTGGACTAGTTTTTTTGAATGAGCCCCAAGATAAGATCACTTATGCTAATCTATCTATTATCTTTTCCTAAGGAAATCGGATCAAGACCGGGAAACATACAGCAGTCATTAGGAAGGTCTTGTGGCTCTGCCTTCTTAAAGTTTCGATCAAAGATATCCGCCCATCCGCTGTTGTCCCCTGTAGAAAGTGAAAGCAAGCCTTTGCATGAGAAAGTCACCATAACTATATAAAGTTGTTACAGTTTGAAGACATAAATTGCCTTTGCGGTCTAAAAGAGATGTCAGAATTTCTCCCTTCAAAGCTAATTACATCAATGTTGAATAAACATCATGTCCTAATGTATTTCAGAGTGGAATCATAATCATCGTTGACATAAAATTTAGTCCCAGTTGTAAGACCGGACTATAAATTCACTGCCTATTTTAAATGGCTGAATAGCTTTAGAATTGAGAACAGCTTGAAGTGCATCTATTAAATTTCATGCAGCAATCAGCAAAGTGAAATGGCCTCACCGCAGTGTTCTTCATCCGCTCCGTTCTTGCAGTCCCTGTGGCCATTACACTGAAGGACCTGGGGCAAACACACACTCAAGTTTCCACAAGGGAACTGACCTAGAGGGCAAACTTCTATCAACGCCCTGCTAGCCATCATGGATGCTGCTGGTGGCAATGAGAAGCGGGCAGAAGAAGGAAGAGAAGGAAAAGTTATAACATCTCCAAGTACAAAAAGGATATTGGTGAAAAGCTCTTTAAATCACCATGGCACTTTATGCTTCCATCAGGGCAAAGTAGATGACTGGAAGCCCTCCAGCAGTGTTAGATGGAAAGCACAAGCCAACAGAGAATCCACAAATGTATGGACTCCACCCACCGTCTACTCAAGCCAATCAGATAACAGCCACACTTCGCTGACCAATCGTAGCATGTTCTCACTATAACTAATCACGTTTTACTTTACAATCAGGGCGGGAGCAGATTCAATTTGCACCCCTGTAAGGAACTGCATTCTATGGACACTTCGTTCAAATTGAGCTGAAGTGCTGTTTGTGTGGTTAAAAAAGACTGTTTCCAAAAGATTGTTGGAGTGTTAGGCTTCTTTATATTTCCATCAGGATCAGTGAATGAGGATAAACTCAGGATTATAGACCATGATCATTCACAGATCCCGAACATCATCAGTAATACCCTCGCGATGCGTCCAAAGCAAATAGAAATCTACTGCAATGCTGTCTACTCTGGACGAGGCGCGACATGATGAAGGACAAATGATTCGCGCATTTGCTTTGATGCGTCCAGTTGCAGTTACAGCAGTTGCAGCGCAACAGCGAGCAGAGACACGGCGTAAGACATGGCATGGCTTATTTAGCCTTTTTTTAAATTTATGCGGTAACAAATATAGGGCATAATAATACGTATAATATCAATTATAAGTCAAAATGACCAACTGGGTGCCTGTCTCAGTATCACTGCAGCATGTAGTACTGGATATTTGCAAGTGGACAATGTAAATAAAAACCTACTTTGGATGCTGTTAAGTAACTTGTACAAACAAAACTAGTACGTCTGATTCATATGAAATATTTTTTGCATGATCAAGTGTTTTAACCAATAAATATCTCGTCTTACATTTATATCCATTTATTTCCAACACACCTGCACCACATTTAAAAAAGAACCAACCTATATTTTTTCCTCCCAAACAAAGGCAATAACTTTGTAATACTTTTAATTAATGTTTAAAAATATTATTTATAATGCTATATACATAGTTAGATCCACATAGCTGCTCATATCCATATCCATATCTCATCCAAACTTCACTGAAAAACTGGAAAACGCTGTTATGTTGGCTGTTGTGTGACGGCAATATAACCTATTACACAAACACGCATGTAGGTTTGCAAAGGGGTGGAAAATTTCCTGTAAATTTCCGGAAACTTTCCAAAAATCCCTGTAATATTCCAAAAAAATCCTGGAAAGTTTCCAAAATTTCTGGAATATTTCTTAAATTTACTGGACATTTTCCACCTTTTTGCAACCCTACACGCATGTTTATCATGAGGTTGAATGCCGTAATTTATTAGTCAGTTATTTATTGACGCTTTTCTTTCCATCTTGAATGACGCTTCCATAATGCGTTTGTATCCAGTATAGCATTGTTCCCATAGCCGTGATTTAAAGCGCTGTTTCTCTGGCATTTTCAAAGGCATGTAAAATATACTGTGGCTTGGCTTGATACACAGTCTAATGATCAACGTTTAAAACGTACAAATCGCTACGTATTTTTAGCTAAAAAACTTAAAAAATATTTACATATCTTTTATATCATTAAGATATTTGTATCAATGCATCAATATTCATAAGGATTCATTTTTAGGTGTCATCAATACGTCAGTTTTGTACGTTTAAATGCTGAAAATACGTAAGTATTTGTACGTTTTAGTGCCTGTAAAAACATAAGTAAATGTATGTTTTATAGAACCACATTTTACGTAAAATACATGCGAATTATCATGAGATCACATTGTCTGCGCACATCCTGCATCTCACAAGCCCTTGAGCACCGAACTTTTTACATCTTCTTGTGTTTGAATGGACAAATACATCCAAAATTATGTTGAAATACCCGTCTTGGTAAGTATCCTCGGAAAACTGTCGATTATGTCTTAAGTGAACATAAACAGTTGAGAAAGAAATCGGATGTGTATCATATTGAATGCATTGTCTCTTAAAGTGACCTTGCCTAATTTACTAGCTGCTGTCAGTGTTCTTAATGTTAATCCAAGAAATTAAAAGAGAAAATCACTCACTGATCTTGACTGAATCATTTTGTAGCTTTAACAAGAACTAATCTATATTTAATTTATACAGTGAAGACTATGCAATGCAATTTTACATTTTTCAGTTTCTGTACCTGAATACCTACAAACTTGGAAAAACTAAACATTGTTTAATTTCTATCTTTGTTCTATTTATTTATTTGTGCTATTTACACGATTTCAAATAGGGCCCATGGGTACAACCTGCACTGGGGCCATTCAAACCCTAGTTACAGCCCTGGGAGTATGGATTACTGTTACAGAGCTTTTTTGTTTCTTTTTTTGGAGAGTCCTCGTATGGAAAAAAAAAAGTTTTAAAAAACTTATCTTGTGTTCCATGGAAAAAATAATAAGCATTAATATTTGGAACGGCATAAGGGTGAGTAAATAATGACAGAATGCTTAGTTTGGGTTGAACTGTCCCCTAAAATTGTGTATTTAGTTTTCCAGATGAGAATCAAGGGATTGAGCTTTGCCACAAACTTGTCACCTTCTCGTTTATCGCTCTCTCCTGCACACAACAAAGTGGCTGTAATCCTAGTAACTAGACCAGGAGGTCCAATGAGGCCTGCAGATCTGGTTTTCATGAACTCGTTAGCAGTCGTCCAGCAATGATCTGTTTCATGGTGTCTCTGAACATGTTTAAAGTTGGAATCAAGCATAGGAAATTCTGGTCCTTCAAATCAAGGGAATAAATTTTTTTTTTAAGGTGTATTGAGATACAGAAGAATCCACAGGGGATGACTTCATGTTTCCGACACATTTCGGAAGTTTGTGGCATGGATATTTATCGCAGGAGCCTTTTTTATGCTACAAGGAAAAAGACCATTCTTAGTCTGGAAATGCAATCATTTGTACTGTAAAACCCAGATGCATATTTTACGTCTCCCTGGAGAATGAGACAAATTTGTTTAAGAGGGAGCTGAATACTTCCTATTCGACATAGTTTTTTTTTTTTTTAGCTAAAGACTCCTGTGGAACTGCCACAAAGGGATTGTAAATGTACTGTGTATCATCACCAATTTAGTTTAACTTTAGTATTCTAAATAACTGCATTGCTCCAATTAACTGTTAATATTAATACATTTTATGTATTCAGACCAGTTAATAATCAAAGTTTTTCTGGTTAGCATATATATATATGTGTATATATATATATATATATGTGTGTGTGTGTGTGTGTGTGTGTGTGTGTGTACCTGTTTTTCTATTCTGGTGGGGACTTAAACCTGAATACACACAGACTCATGGGGA